GGGAGAGCTGTTGCAGTCTAGTCAAAAGTGGTGATTGCAGTGAGATGCTGGGGGGAGAGCTGTTGCAGTCTGGTCAAAGTGGTGATTGGAGTCCAGTATAGGGTGGTGATCCAAGTCTGTTTGAGAGCGATGAGCCGCAGTCCTTCTCTGGATCCCACAGAGTGGTTCCAAATGTTCCAAGACTCCAAGATTATATATCCTGCAGTTCAGGCAGGAATGCTCAGCACTTCCCTCAGGGCGGGGAGTTCCACAAAGGGTGTGAGGACAGGAGCATCCTCCTATCTCACAGGCCTCTTAACACCTAGTTTATAGCCTGAGGAGTCAGGCTCTATGGGCAGATGGTGTAAATGGTTCATTGATAACAGTTTCTGGGAAATGGCATGGAAGGCTATAGAATACACAGTTTTGGGTTACACCCATACCCTGATGAACTGGTCTCAGTTGTCCTAACTAGGACAACATCAAGCCCACAAAGAACTATACACCAAATGTGACTTCTTTGTTCTTAATCCACTGTGTGTACCTGTTGGCTACCTGGCCACAGCAGAAGTTGCCTTAACAGTCTTCATTTTGGTAACAGAAGAGAAAGGGACACAAAGTATGTTTTTGTGTAGTCAACGTACATCATCACCAACACAAAAACAGTGGTAGTGGGAGGGAAAAACGGGCCATCCAAGGGTTGTGTGCCCTAACATTCATGCACATTTCTGCCTGCTTTATGACTGTGAAAATTTTTGATGTTACTTATGTTACAAGTTAGCTGTACTTGGAAAGAAAAAAAATACCTGTCTTTATGAATGAATTAAAGCCCTTCCCTTGGAAAAGCCTACCTGTAGTTGTACTGTTTGTTAAGCTGTCTCTCCATCATATTTCATTGAAATCTAGCAAACTCAAATATGGCCGACAGAGGATGTGTGTGGGCAGCTGACCCAGGCAAGAAACTCCTTATTTCCCCACTGGACACCTGCACAGAAGCCACACCCATGCAGGCCTTAGCAGACTGTCCCTTTCCAGCCAGAATTGGGAGATACAGGATAGTCTGAAGAAGATTACCAGTTCTGCATTGCGTTCTCAAAGGTGACCAGGAAGATTTTGAGCACCTGCTTGCTCTGTGCCTATATCTCTCTGGCTTTGTCCCTCAGAGGGAGAATGCCAAGTGAAGAGGGTGTTATAACAGACCCGGGATACCTGCTGTGCTGCAGACAGCTTGTCTTATCCAGGTGTTTCATCTACTCCCAGATCCTCAAAGGCAATTAAGTGATTAAATGCCTTTGAGCCTTTGCACCTCAGCTGTTTTCCTTTTTCAGGAAGACTGGTAAGAATGAGCTCAGTAAAGCTTACAGGGAATGGAGATCGGTATTGCTATTTTGCTTGTTTCTTAATAATTTGCCCATATTTCTGGGAAAATTAGTTAGTTAACAGCTATACTTATTATATCCCACACTCTCAGGACTGGGAGATAAAGTATTACCTTCTATGCTTTTATAAACTGCACACCCTGTTCATTCGTGCTGCCTGTGAAGAGGCTTTGCCTCAAAGGTGTGCCTTTGAATTGCTTACTATGAGATCCTTCCCTGATGATCCTAATGGCTTTGGCGGGTACAAGTGTGGCTGACTCAAGCATCACTTCACTGATAGGGTAAAGGTGAACAGCCATGACCCAAGAACTTTCTGACTTGCAAAGAGATCCCAGCAAATCAGATCTGAAAACCAGTGGTGAAAACTGCAGTATTCGCATGTTATTTTCTCTTGGCAACTCAAGCTGTAGGAGACATTTGCTTTTATTCTACTGGCTGTAGGGGTGAGCACGGAGGTACTGTTGGGTGAGCAGGAATTCACCCCTGCTTTCAGCAAGAGTCCCAACGACAGGAGGCTGAGGCCAGCATCCTGACAGGCACTGTGTGAAGTCAGGTGTGCAATCTGATAACCTGGGGAAATGCACCAAGGCTGCCAGGGAGCGCTACTTGTCTTCACTAGGTCAGCACCAGCACTTGGCAGCCTTTGAAGTAGCTATAAAATAGCTGCTGCAGCTCAATCTCTCTTTTGTGGCTGCACAGGGATCACTTCAAGGGTCCTCTCAAGATAATGTTTCCTCCCCGTAATGTTGAATAATGAGAAGTTTAAAGGCCAGTGCTTGAATGGCCATGGATTTCTCTGCAAGGGATGAGGCTCCTAGCCCTCCGATTCCCTCTTTGTGCCTTGGAAACCAGGGTGATTTGTTACCTTAGCTGTGATTAAAGAGCCAGCATCCACCCTGCTTTATGATACGACTACTCTGCGCTTCCCTGACCTGTGCAGTGACTGTAGCAGCGATTAGAGTTGCCAAACACAGCTCAGTTTAACAGAACAAAATTTTCCTGGAGGATGAAGGTGGAACCTCACCTGCTCCAAAAAGGGCAGAAAAGCCCATGCACTTCCATGGCCTTGTCTGAGCTTTGATACTTCACAACCAGGAAGCAGCCTGCTGTAGTCACCTTATTGTGCCCATTCATCTGCTATAGCTGAGCTAGGTAAATACTCAGATCATTCTGCATAGTAGTCATTAATTTTGTAGAAGTAATACTTTGCAGTTTACTTTGAAAGAGAAGTCCTGAGTGTCCTGACGTTGCACAAGTGTCAAATGCTTCTTTTCAGACTTCAGATCCAGACTGGGGGCTGAAACAAAAGTCTGCTTGGTCCATTCATTGCCACCTATAGTGTGAGGATGTGCTGCTTTGCAGACCCACCTGCTTGTGATGATAAGCTCTTCGTGAGTGGTTGAGCTAAGCCATCTTTATCACTTGTCTCTGCCAACCTGGTCCGCAGAGTTGCTTCCCTCTAGCCCTTGCGTTCTTTCTGGAGGAGACACTGAGCAAACACTGCCTGCTGCATCACACAGCTCAGGAATCTGAGCTCCCGCTGCTGTGACGGATGAGTAGCCAGGTCGTCCCTGCAAAAACAGCGAGACAAGAGTGCTTCGTCCTGCCTTCTTCTCCAGACAGGCAGCGTTAGCCAGGCAGGGACAGTGAGCTCAGCCGCTCCTGCTGCCCTCGGGAGTGGAAAGGCGGCTGCCTGGGGCAGGAACAAGCAGCCACTGTCGCGGAGGAGCGGGAGCATCCCTGAGCGGGCTTTGCCTCAACAGGAGGCAAGAGTTTCCTGTTGAAGAAGCTGTGCTTCTCTACCAGCTCTGTCAGCACAAAAACCCATGGCACCTTCCTAGGAGTGTAATTAAAAAAAAAAAGATCGATCTGGCAAACTTATCCTTCTTCCCCTTGGATTTGTGCTGGGGGCTTTAAAAACCCCACAGAAAACAAAACATTCTTTTTCCTCCTGGCTCATGCTCTCGGACTCTTCGGAATTTCCAAGGCTGCCGCTGGCGCTGGAGGGCGGCAGAACCGCCCCGCTCCCGCCCTGCTCCGCGCCCGCCGCCGTTTGAACAGGGACATGGCGGCCGGCGCGGGGCCGGTGGTGCTGCCCGAGGAATGGCGGCTGTACCTCGTCTCCTCCCGAGTCGCCACCTTCCGCAACTGGCCCTTCACCGAGGGCTGCGCCTGCACGCCCGAACGGGTGAGCCGGGAGCGTGAGCGCGGGGCCGAGGGAGCGGGGCGGGCAGGCGCTGACGGGACCTTCCCGCCTTCCTTGTGCCCGCAGATGGCGGCAGCGGGTTTCGTGCACTGCCCCAGCGAGAACAGCCCCGACGTGGCGCAGTGCTTCTTCTGCCTCAAGGAGCTGGAGGGGTGGGAGCCCGACGACGATCCCCTGTGAGTACGGGGTGGTTCCCCTGGCCCCTTCCCCGATCGGCGCCGCTCCCGACGGCGGCGCCGCTCCGGCAGCGGGAAGCGCTGCTGGCAACCGAGGTGCTCGGCAGGGGAGAACAGCTGCGTGTGGCTTGTTGGGAGCTACTGTCTTCCATTTTCTCTTCCCCCTCCCCCGTCTTTTCAGGGAGGAACACAAAAAACACTCTGCGGGCTGTGGTTTTCTTTCCCTTCCGAAAGAGCCTGCTAACCTGACACTACAGGAGTTCCTGAAGCTGGACAAAATGCGAATGATAAAGGCAATTGTACGTACACAGCGTACACAGAGACCGTAATGTATCTCTAATCTCCTGTAATGTTGGAAGAGTTACTTAGTTTCTAGTCTTGGGATTGTTTTGCTGGACTCCTTGTTCCTTATCACTGCGTTGCCAAAGTGCTTTGTTGCTTCCAGACTGGGGCTGGATGAGGTGGTGTGCCCATTCCTGGTCCTCAGTCTCTGCTCTGTGCGAGATGTAGCCTGATTTCCCCTTGAAGCTCGACGATACTAAGTCTTCTACTTAGTAGTAGGCAGTAATGTACTATTTTCACTTTCTGCAGAAAAAAGAGATTTCTCAGAAGATGACCGAGGTTGAAGATGCAGCCAAGAGCACACGTTCTAAAATAAAGAATCTGGCCTAGACTGCTGCAGCTTCACACTTGCTAGTGACATCTTTCTTGTAAATGTACTGTGGCACTGCCACTGTGACTGAATGGCTGTGTTTCCCAAGGCTGCTTCCAGACTGGCTGTCTTGAGAAGCAGGCTGAATTCTGCTTCACTCACCTGAGTCTGTCTAGGAAGTACCTGTGGTTTGATATATTGCATACATAATCTTTCTCTGCACGGATTCTCCTAATCTTTCTGTTGGTTTTACTAAGGACTGCTGCTTGTAGGTTTACTTGTTCTCTTTTTTCTTTTTTTTTTTTTTTTTGAAACCCAGCTGTTTAGAGATATTGCTGTATTGTAGAGATCCTGGTAGCTCTGGTGTTAAAACATATTTCTGGCAAGAATTGACAGGCATTTCCATTTTTGTACTGGATATACCAATGCTTTAGGATATTTTGGGACATGAAAAGGGGAAGGATTTTTAAAAATCCTTCAGGGATTTAGGATTGTGGCTAATAACATTGCTGTTCTGCCTTCAACTTTTATCTATACATAGATCAACAGGAGGCAGCAGCCAACTACAAGTAGAAGTTTACAAGGATACCAGGCACACTAAGCTTTGGTATAATTCAAAGTAGTTTTACTCGATTTTCTGGAGGAAAGGAATCTGACCTTCAATGCAATGGGCTGCACTGAATGCAGTTTTAACATCAAAAGGGAAAATAAGATCATCAGCCTCAGTGCTGTTGCCCAAGTGTCAAACTTTTTTAAGCAGCATTCATTAGGCATTAAAGACATTTCAAAGACATTCAAATTTATTTGTGCCTGGGAAGGTTTGGTTTGTCCCCTTCCTTGCACAAGTTTGGAAAGGAAAAGAAATTTGCAAAACAGAGTGCAGTCAGTCAGAAACTGCTCTGACCTGCTGGAAAGGAATGGGGGGAATCTTGGAGAAAATATTTGACTGTTACAGGGCCCAATCTGATCGTACGGGGTTGTGAATTTTGCGACAGAACTGAACACGTGATTACATGCTCCCAAAGTCAAGGAACCTCCAGCTCTATTTTGGGAAAAAGGTTGTTGTAGTAACACGTTGACAACACCAGTGCTCCTGAGTTTCATAAGTTTGTTCAATCTTCTCTGTCCGACCTTACTTGGAACAATGAAATAACCTCATTATTTCCAGTTGTAACAGCCAAATCATATGCTGATTGCCCTTCTGCGTTCTTCTTTTGTATGTTTGCATTGCAGCTGTAAATAAAGAACAAATTGGTTTCAAATACTTAAATTCATTTCAAGTTACTGGACTTTGTGAAGTGGCTTGTAGGTAAATGTTGATGCGGAGTAACTTCAGAATTTGTGTGCCTCTTCCTGCAGGGACAGTGATAAGACCACTGAGCCTTGGACAGGCTCTGGCCCTTCAGTAGTGCCAATTAGGTCTGTGCAGGCAGGCTGTGGGTAGCCTGCAGCTGAGCTAGAAGCCCAGCTACAGTACATACCGTAACAGGACTCGGATGCTCTCCTGTCCCTCCAGTCCAAGCAGAACTGCCTCATGGAGAGCTGTGTTGTTGTGCCTGCATAGGAGGAAAGAACAATGTACTTATTACCAAAGGAAACTATCCCAGTACATGTCTTAGCATATAAAACTAAGGAAAATGAATAGGATACAGAATACATTAGAAGTGTGGTAGGCTTTAGTGAGGTTTATCATATAAATGGATGGGGGAAGGAACTGAATAGAACAGCAGCTTTTGTAACAGCAGTTACGAGAAGTCTTCAAAACTGCCAGCTGAAAGAAGAACTGTGGATACTGTCCTTGAAAGGAGCTCCTCAACTACATATTTGTGTCAAAGGAGGGGTGGGAGGTTAGTTCTAAAATTGGAGCATGTGTGCTTTTTTTTGGTAAAACTTCAAAATACCCAAGGCAGAGAATCAGTGCTCACTCACAGTCCTGACTGCTGGTCTATGTCGGCACCTTTCTGCACAAGGAGGGAGATTGCTTCTGTGTGCTTGTTAAGGACAGCAACTGTGAGAGCAGGTTGATCCTCGTCGCTGATGCAGTTTGGGTCAGCTCCCTAGAATGCACAGCAGAGGGAAGGTGAACTGTTAAAACCCATACAGATTCTTCAACTTCCGTGTTGCTTTAATATTATGCCAATTCAAGTTGGCAAGTGGGCTTTATGCTCAAGACAGAGAAATGTTAAAATTGTGTTGTTTTGCTTCTTCATGTTTCTTCTGAAAATGTTTGTCATCTCCTAGCTCAAGGCCAGAGTAATGTATATAATAGCAGTCAAATCAGATTCCACAGTCAGGGTGCACCTTACCCTACCACACAGCAAAAACTTAGAGGTTATGCTTGCTTTTTTCCTATAGAGAGGACTTGACCCTAAACTATAAAACTTTCTGCTTGGCCTTGACAAACAGAGAAGAATGCCTTATGCACCCTAGAAATTTGGGGAGAACATATATAAATGTAAAATAGGTCGCATCTTCTCGAAAATGCTCTTTTAATCTGAAGACTATTACGAGACTGTTGCCTCCTAGGCATAAAGCTAAAGTTGCATACCAGGCTAATATTCTGTCAGTAAATGGTCAAAGAATTGAAAAGGGAAACTTCAGCAAGCAATAACTTACTTCACTGAGCAATTGTTCTATAAAGGTGATTCTTCCTTTTCCATTTGGACCCAGTTCATCCAGTAGTTGTCTGGATTCTGGCTGTGGAGACACAGACAGTAACATTTCACATAGTGAAAACTAGGCCATATCCTGCCTTTGAGTAAAGGTGAAAAATGCACACAGTGGCTTGAATGCAATGTATCTGAGCCTCATTATTGCTAATCCATGACTCTTCTTTGGGAATGTCTTTTTCAATATCAGCAAGTGTTTGGTGACCCAGGCTAATACCTCACTATTGAGGTCTTGATTCAGCAAATGTGTCTGAAAAATATTAGGTTTACATCAATGCAGCTCTCCAGGGCTGTATAAAGATCTGCTCAGCCCAGTAAAAGTGCTATATTTAGGATTAAAATTTGAAGCTTCCAGAATTTGTGAAAGTATTTTATTTAAAAAATGCGTATGCTTTTTCTCACAGAAGTTAGTTTACTAAATCTTAAAACAACAAACAATAAAATGTAAAACCTTTAATTTCTTCCCAGGCTTCCACCTCGTTCTTCTCCAAGCATTTTTCTCTCTGGACTTATATCACAGAGCTATGTATCTTCTCCCACCTGTTGGGATAGCTAACTGTTCCAAGCTTAGATTAATGTACATTTCCCTTTTGAAACTTTCCATGTCATTACTGACAATCGGTTTAGTAGGCCATTCTTTCAGGAAGTTTGGTCTCTAGTGGAAGTGAAGCCTTGCTTCTGGAATTAAACTAGGCCTCAATTATGCTGACATCTCAGCTTAATGGGAAAATGGAGTTGACTTAAAAGCTTGTTAGGTAGATCATCTTCTCCCGCCTAGTTCATAGACATACTGTGCCAACAGTAGTTCCAGCACAGTACATCAGTGGAGTCAAACATAGTAAAATCAAGAGAGGTTGACAGTGCCTTCATCTGATACTGCTTCTGAAGAAGTATCATAGTGTTCTGAAGAAAACCTATAACAGAATCAGTCTCCAACAGTGTTTTGGCCTAAAGTACATCATCACCATCATGGCTAGACTTCGCGAACAAAGATTTGGGAAGGGCTCTACCCACATTTGTTACAAGCGTGCTGGTGGCTAAAAAGGCCAATACGAGACAAACACGTCCGGTTGCAAAAGGCACAGCAGAAAGACTCCTTAGGTGGTATATTCTGCAGGGCACGATTCTTTCTGCGTTGTCTTTTCTCCTCCTGCGTGCTTTCTCAAAGGCATCAGTAGCGTTACACACAGTGTGTCTCCAGACCTCCCGACTGGAGACCAGAGTAGACCAGTTATGTTGATCAATATGGCCAAGGCTGAGATGTTGTTTCATCTCAAGATAAAAGGGAGTCCTTTTATCTTCTCTTCTGGGCTCCTCTCATGCGGCAGCCAGAGGCAAGTTCACCATAAAGCATGATCTTAGGGAGGCGGTGGTCCTTCATCCTGGAGACGTGCCCTGCCCAACGCAGCTGTGTTCTCAGCAACATGACCTCAATGTTTGTGACTGCTGCTTGTTCTAGAACAGATGTATTAGTCACATAATCTGACCAGTGGGTGTTTAGGATTGTATGAAGACAGCGTTGATGGAAGTGTTCTAAGAGTTGCAGGTGGTGGCGGTAGATGACCCATGATTCAGATCCATATAAGAGAGTAGACAGCACTATGGCTCTGTAAACACTGATCTTTGTACTTTTCTTCAAGTGTTTATTTTGCCAAATTCTTTTATGAAGCTTTCCAAAGGCACTATATGCCTTTGCTAACCTGTTATCTATCTCTCCGTAAATCTTACCGTCTGAGGAGATGAGGCTACCTAGGTAATTAAACTGCTGGACTGATTTGAGCACTGATTCGCCAATGGTGATATGGGGATGATGGAAGAGTTCTGAGGTGCCGGTTGATAGAGAACTTCTGTCTTCTTTAAACTGACTTCCAGCCCAAAGAGCTCAACAGTGTCTGCGAAGCAGGATGTTAAACGCTGCAGAGCTGCTTCTGTGTGGGCGACAAGGGCGGCGTCATCAGCATAGAGCAGCTCCCAGACAAGATGGTTTAAGGTCTTAGTGTGGGCCTTCAGTCACCTTAGGTTGAAAAGGCTTCCATCAGTACGGTATTGAGTGTAGATACCGTCCTGATACTCAAGGTCTGCCATGGCCCTTTGGAGCATCATGCTGAAAAAGACTGTGAATAGGGTTGGTGCGAGAACGCAGCCTTGTTTCACACCATTAGTTATTAGAAAGGGCTCAGAAAGTGCATTGCCATATCTGACTTGGTCGTGTTGATCCTCATGGAGTGAGATGATCATTTTGAGGAACTTGGGGGGACAACCTAAGGCCTAAAGTACAATGGGTATTGGTAAAATACAACGGGTTCAATAATGAGAGAAACAATCTAATTAAGCTATTAGTAGGAAAAAACATAGTTATTTTCAGTTCTGTAATAAATGTCAGTTACCAATGTTCAGGTTTTATATTAAGCTGGACTTTTATGCCCCGCCCCAGTCAAGGGGCATATTTTAACCCTTAAATGCCCTCCTTCATGTTAGTGCTGCTCTATAAATACTTTTTCTTGTATTTGCAGAAGATACTTACAGAGAGCTTATCTTCTTGTCCTGTAAGTGTTCTTGACTTTGTTCTCTTTATTTTGCCTCTTGAATGGAAAAGATTACAATCATCTTTGCCTACCAGAAAGGAAAACAAGTGTTAATTCAAAGCAAAGTCAGTATCCTAACTAGAATTTGTGGGAGAGGTCTGGAAATAATTTATCCACAATTAAAGCAATATTTATCAGTTTTCCACATGAGAAAGTGATGAAATATTTGTTGCAGATCATAGTGGTTTTAACAAAAGTTTTATACTCAGGCAGTCTGAAAAACTTGCTATTTTGAAATGAAGATTCAATGAAATGTGGAGTTTGGGGTGGTGGTTTCTTTTCTAACTAGCTGCAGCTATTCAACAGTTTTGACTCAGATTCATGAATTGTTTTGTCCAAAAACCTTATAATTTTTCAAAGCAGTCTGATTTCCAAATACTTAAGAACAAGACTAGAGGATCATCAGTAGATATATATGGCCATTATTTTTAAGAAACATAATCTATCCAATGTGCAGGAGGGTTGAGAAGGAAATTATGCAGCATGTGAGGATCATTTGTGAGGATCCAAGTGCCTGGAATCACAGTCACATTATTAACACTCCAAAAAACCAGCTCCCAGCGCCATGGCCGCCTCTTGCCAAGTCTCAGATTGGAAGCACAAAGTGGATGAAACCTATATGGGAATTGAAGCATGTCAAATGATTCTATAGCAATTTCTGAATTCTAATGCTGACTTTACAACTAGTTGATTTAATGAAAATCTAAATCCAATATGAGATGCCTAAAATGCTGAGCTCTTACTGACACCAATGGGAGATGCAAGTTAACATCATCTGTGAAAACTAGGTCTAGAATTAATATATTTCATCATTTCTTATCTTTGCCAAATATGCCCCAGCTGAAGTCCATGGCACAGCTCACAAGCAGAGATCATATTGATATTTATGGCTCCTATTGTAAAAGAATATGGGAAACATCTAAAGCTTTATCGCTATAATAAAAAAACTGCTATGAGCTATGGCTGCAGTTAACTGGTCTCAGCTGCTCTCTAGGGATGAAGGATTCCTAAGAATTTTTGAGAGAGTCTGTATGTTACTTAAATCTCAACTTGGACACAATTTGAAACTTCAAGATCAAGTTAAGCAGGTACAGAATATCCCAATATAGTAGTTTACCCACCTCAGTGTCTAAGCTTCCAAGCTTTACTTCTTTATTCCTGACTGCTATATTTATGGTCTATTGTAAAGACAGGGGAAAAAAAATCTCACCAAAACTGGTCTGATTCCTATCCTGTCCATTTCTGACTTCTGTTACAGTATTCAGGTAATGACTGCTGAACTTCACTGGTTTATTAGTATGAATATCCTGTAGAATCATCAAATGCAGGCAGTTAATAACATTATCATGTAATGCTGTTATAAGCTTGCTGTGGCACAAAACAGTGCTGTTTGCATATAGGAAAATACATAGGCTTTAATATCAGTGTCAAATTACCACAAGACATTATCATATGTAATTGAACATTGAATTTTGAGGCAATATAATGTAGCAATTTTTTCTAAAATTTGTTTTGATTTAGGAAAAAAAAAGGTGATACAACCTGACTTAAAGAAATGAAGATTCTTATCCAAATGAAAGTGTTTCTACCACTTGAGAGATTTGATTAACTCCTCACTTTTGAAATGATGTGATATACCTTTTCAGGCCCCACATCACAAGGTAAGCTTGCTAAGTTTCTACAAAAGAGATTTAATCTGAATTTCGGATTTTTGAAACAGTAGATTTTCATCTTTGAAACGCTGGAAATGAGGGTGGATTTTGGAACAAGGTAATTCTGGAGATAGGGATTCCAGATTCTGAATACAGTTAACAGGAGCTCCGACAAACATTATCTCCAAACTACTGAAAATTACTAAGCTTGTTTCTTAAGAGCACAGTTTGCAGGCTGAAGAGAAGCAGGATCTAAGATCAAAAGCTCACCATCAAAAGCTAGAATCATCAAACAACATCAGCTGAAAGAAGAATGTTAATAGCAACTAACGAAATGCAAGATGATAGCAACATAACCATGAAGTCTGGCTTAATCAGATAAAGATACCTGTTCATCCAGCTCCAACAGAGAAAGAAAAAGATTTTTTTCTCTAAAGTGATAAGTTAACTTGCTCTGAATAAAAGAATTTCTTGTTTAGACCCAAATTTAAAATGTATCAGCATTACGCTTGCTGTCTAGTGACAGCTTTATGCCAGCTGCCTATCAACAGGCCTCATCCCCTGAACTGACCTTGTTAATAGCAAGAACATAATTCAGTGTAATAGTGACTTCATAGTCATCCTCACAGATGGTAGCAGAATTAATCTAGAAGGAAAGAGCAGCCATTAGTACCTCTTACAAAAAAAATACACAGAAAGAGTTTTAGGAATAAGTCTTGATGCTGATGTTTCTTATGCAGCCAATACACAAAATCACACATGGCCTTTGCCTGCTTGTGATACTGTAACCAACACTTCCCATGTAACTGAGAAAGGGGTAGGTGTCTTTTGAGCAATTCAGAGTAACTGAAATGCCAAGTGAATCCAAAAGGTGTAATGAGGCTAAATTTCATGATAGTTTAGTCATTCTCCACCAAGATTTTGCAGCTGCATGGAAGGCTGTGTCATTTTTGGGACTCCCAACTCCAGGAGAATTGGTTACTGCTCTAGAAACGCCAGTTTGTGGAAGCACAGTGTGTATTAAAATGTGAGCAACTTTGTATATCAGTTCATTCAGACAGTACTACTGGCAACAAGTCTATCAAAGTCATACAAAAATGAGTTCAAGGAGGATTATAAAGAAGTGGAATGAAGCTCACAAACTTATATTGCAGATAGTTAACATCTGCTTTGAACCATTTCTGTTACTTTTGGGGGCAGTGGTTTCAGGACAATAGAATGACAACAGGCCAAGAAGCAGCAGGAATAGCCTTCTCTAGGCAATTTTATATTTTTCAGGCCTATCCTTTTGAATCCTCTAGCAAAGGAAACAAGTTGCAGTGGACCTATACTCCAATTCTATTAAGCAGATATTCTAGTTATAGTTGTACTACAGCTTCTGAACATACTGGTGGACAGTAGGTCTCAGTGGATATAGATTCAGGTGCAGAGTATCTACTGGAGTCTAATCCCTCCCCAAAGTGTTACTTGACAAATGACAATTACCTTTCTGACCCCCAGTATTCATGAGCCTTTCTGTAGTTGCTTCTATGTGCTAAAATTGGGGGAGAGGGGATGTACTGGTGTGTCACTTCAGTTAGGACAGGCTAGGAAATACTGAGCTTAAATTGTAACAGGGGAGATTGAGATCAGACACTTCTCAGTAATTATGCCAGTTCAAGGAGTTCCCAAACCCACTTCTGCCTGCATCCCACCTCCAGCTGCTCACTGCCAGCTTACTTTGTGCTATCACTGCTGCCCCTTTTTACCTCCAGAGCTGTTTTTTGCCTAGGGCAGTCACTGATCCTGTTCACAGGACTTTGCTTCCAGCAGTGTGCTGCCGGCACAACCACTCGTGGCAATGTGAGAGGATGCAGCTACCAAAGAAAGCAATACAGTACTGCAGCTGAATAGCAACAATAGCTGAGTGCAGAAAAGGACTGTGTGGGCCAATTGCAAAATCTCCATTGTTGGTAAGTTTGAAAAGCCTCAAGAGAAATATCAGTCAGGAACAGTTTAGACAGTTGATCCTCCCTCAAGTCAGAGACCAAATGTTGTCTCACTCATACCAGCCCTATCTTCTAGGACTCTGTGGGTCCAGTTTGCACCTTCTTGCTGTCACCCCTTTAATCATTTTAATGCAGTTTGGTGACATCCTGAAGACTACCTCTCCAGTAAGAAAAGCACTATTCTGTTCCTGTAAAACTGGTATAGTTCACACTAAAAGTAGACTGTATAGCCAAAGAGAATAGCTGCTATCTGCTGCTATCAGCCTGGAGCAGAGGCGAGCACATCACTGAAATCACATTTCTAGCAGGGCTTATTTAACTGAGCAACTATATAGATGCCATTGATCTCTTCTTTTTCTTGATTGCCTTCTGTGGGGTACTATAAAACAGCTGAGCAAGGGCTTTCTCACTTTCCTTACAGCTGTTAGGTAAAAGAAGAATAGAATTAACAATAGGAAAGAAAGGAGAAAAAAATCTTCAATAAAAGACTGAGCAAAAAATAGAACAACAAAACAAGACAAATTACATACACAAACAGGTCAACATCTAAAGAAAAGGGAGACATTTATTTTTCCAGAGTTTATCTAGCAGCTACAATAATCTTTTCATGATCCTTCATAGGAAGATATTACTCACAACCTCCTTCCTACCTTTCCCATTCGAGGTTCTCCAATCAGTGCTCTGAATTCAAGGTTGTTCTGAGCATAGCTTCTAAGGTGAGCACAGATATGATCCAGCTGTTTTCTCCAGTAACCTGATCAGAGAGAGTTAAGCAGGAGAAAAATCCTTAAAATGTGATTAACATTTCTTCTAGTTAAGTGATGGAAGATTTAAAAGATAGCATAGTTTCACCGAGATACAAAAAAAATTTGAATTTTTTTGGTAGAAAGTTCATCTAATCAAAAAAACGAGAAGGAAGGTACACCCTAAAAAAACCCAGGTGAAACATTATCTTATTCATAGCTTATAATTCATCCTTAGGGCACCTTTATTCACAACAAAATTATATCTTGGATGTTCCTTGGGAGTCAAAACTAGTCCAATGTGAAGGTAGAATCTCACACTAATCCAGATCATAAGAAAAGAAAAAAGTAAAATATTACAATTAAGCAACTGTGTATTATTGAACCGGTTTTTAGTTGATTTGGAACAACTGACAGGTGACAATAAGCCAAATCTGAAAACTGCAGACACAGAAACTTAGCATATACAGCATTCTGGTCTGTGTAAGTTATTTTCCAAATAAATTCCTTTCAATTATATATGTGAGAGCTTATTAAAAGCTTAAGCATTCCTGCTCTTTTGCCTGTCAGAATCTCTGGGAGAGAGTCAGCATTCCTTTATGTGGATAGAAGGCATGAAATTTGAGAGGCTGAATGCGCCTGGATTAAAAACTCAACTTAAGCCATTTAGAGTTTTTTGCACCTCCTGTCCAAGCATTTTGGGAGCTACATTCTCTTTTCATCCGGAAAAGAAACAAAAGGACTTGTTCTTATTCTTAACTGATTGTTATCAGGATCTGGCTTATTTTCGGTTTTTAGCATACTTATGTGAAGTACACAGCATGATTTGTTTCATTGTAAATAAATTGTGTAGGCTTGGTAACCTCATTTAACTTACACAGTGAAGCTGTTCTGACCTTATCCTTTCCTTCAAGTTAAGTGAAGCCCCAAACAGTGTAAAGAAACCAAGCCAGAAAGAAAGTGCTGCTCTGACTTTTACAAGAGAAGGCAAGTGCACACAGACTTCTGTGCTTGGAAGACACTTTCAATATCGAACTGGTGTGTCAAACTAAAACAGCAAGTCTTATTTGTTAAGCAGCTTTAAAGGAATATAAAAAGAAGGATCCACAGAACAACATAAATTTTTCCCTGCCATGGTCTCACAAACAAAATTAAAAAATCTAAACTAGACTACTACTTGATGAGCAATCTATCCAGAGAAGTCAGTAATATTTGCAATAAATTGGTTCATAACTAGATCCCCAGATATTATTTCAAAAAATCCAGATGATTAGAAACATATTCTTGCATGGTTTTATTATAAGTCAAAGGAGTTTTTGGCAGCACTGATGGAATACTTGAATCCATGCTGCCAATAGTTGATTACACCTACATCACACTGATTTAATGTTCTAAACTTTACTTCTTTGTAAAGTTTACCTGGTAAATGTTTTGGCTCCTGTTCATAACAGACTGAAAGTACAGCAAAAAAAGAAATAGAGTACACACCAGAGGATTAGTGATTTGGTACTGCTGTCGTTTCCCCCTCTCTTAACTGCTCTGTAATTTTTTTAATCTTCACAAAAGGAAAGAAGGTTAGTTAATGGCTTATATGGTCAAGAAATAATAACCCCCACACATCTTATTTAATCACTTGTATTTAAAAGCTTTAATATCAAATGTCTGATAGTATTTTATTTGAAGAAATAATGGTCATATTTGGCATATATAAACAAGATTTTCCTGGGTGATAGTGTACAGTCTTGTTGATACAGATAGTTTCAAGCCATGTACACAGCTCAGCATCAAGGAAAGGAATAGCATGAACTGACTGTAAGAGATGTTTATTTATTTATGGAATGAAATGTGTTTCTCAGTCCTTGGCCGGGTCTAATGGAGAATACATTACACAGTGCAACTTCAACAAAGTTACCTCTGCTAAATGGATTAACAGAATTCAAAAAGCAGTGCAGAATTTCTTCCCAACCTTTCCCAGTGACAGCAGTTCTCACTCACAAGTCAAGAGCTGTACTTCTGATAGAGTTATACAAACGTTAGTGTTAGTCTTCTCTTGGCACTATTATGGGCCAATCCTTTATTATCTCTGATGAAATTATGCTTCCTGACATGCTGAGTCAAGTGTTGTATTTCCTACAGTGATGTCTAAGAGAATATGCCACATTTCAGAACAAGGGAGTAGGAACACAGATTTTCTTAGTGATTATTTTAAAAGTAAGAGTGCATGTGGATACAGATACAGACTTAAAAGAGGAATTTCTAACATTAATTAGCAACCTTTTCTACCCATTCCAATTAATTAATTAATTCCGATAGCAGCCTGAGAGGTTAAACGTCTAATTGTAGAAGAGCTAGAGATGAGAAACAGGATCTGAAAAAGTAACTGCTCCTCCAAACAATGCTTTGATGCTGTAATGATTTTAAATTAACTTGTCCTATGGATTGCACAGCTGGACTGCCCTGTGAGATTAAATACAACTTTGCAATTGGGCCATTTGTTAGATGCCTAATTAATACTGATGGACTGTCTTCAAGGGTTTGTGATCAAGAAAGCTTAAGTTGAAGATTTCCCAGCATAGTGAAACTAAAACCTCTAAAAATTATGAGCATTTAATGACAGCAGTCAAGTCATTCCACAAACAACAAACTGACCACAAAACTCACTGTGAAACAAAGTTGTCTGCAGTACTGATACAGCAGTCTGTGAGTGGACAGACTCTTCAATGAGTGATGTAGATGTACTGATACCCTTGAGGGCCTGGAAGAAGGGGTCTACAAGAGCTCTCAAGGTTTCTACCAACCCTATTTTTTGTAATCCTGTTAAGAATCCCTTCATCTAGTTAGGTTTTCTTTGCTTCCAAAACTTCTAAAATTTCCTCCACAACATCACCCCAAACAAGTTCTTCATGTAGACAAGCTTCATCATATTTTCAAGAGCTATGATCCCCTCAGTTTTGTTAATTGATACTCCCTGCAGGTGCCATTACAGGTCTAACTGAAATTCACATAGGAGGGTGCTGCGAGATGGGGTGGCTGTTCAGTGGTTTCCAATTCAAATGCAGGTTGTCTGCCCCTGTGTGGGATCTGAGGAAATCAAACTACTACCAAATTAGTAAGGCTGCACAGGGGTCAGTAACCACAATTTTGATATAGCTGACAGTTCTCTTTTATCTATTGATGGAGATCAGTGATTGAATTGTAAGGTGTTGCATTTACAAGTCACTGTAAATGGTGGGAAGAAAGACTTGTAAAGATCTAAATCAGTGTTGTACTGATGCCACATTCCATAAACTATAATATTTTCAAGAAAGAACAAGGTCATACATTGTTTAGAAAACATAAAATCAGAACTTCTAACCTTTTCCAGGACTAATGGCTGTCAGGAGAGGCTTATGATCACTCATCTTTTCCAGCTTTTCTTTTTGTGAAATCAGCTCAAGCTCTTTCTTTTCCAACTGTTTGCTAGACGGGTAAAAAAGTCCTATGGTTTGGGTTCCTTTATCTTCTCTTTCTGTTAGTTCTGGCCTTGATTTGGTCATGGAAACAGGATGAGGTTGCCAGGCAAATTGAGCTTGTAATTGTTTAGCCTGGGGGGTTGAAGGGAAAGTCTAAGTAATATAATTAGATATAATTAAATGGCTTACAAGCATAACTTAACTAGAACAGTACACAAAATTGTAAAGGAATGAAAAAGCTAGCAGGAAGAATCACTAACAATTCTTGATTTTAATTACCAGTCTGTAAGAACAATGCAACTTATCACAAATATTCAAGCAAAGTCAAAATTCTTCACAATTGCCAGAAGACTTGTATGCTTTTGTAGGGCAAAAGCTGGTCTTGCTAAATATTGTGGTCTTTCTTAAAACAGAGTTTTAAAAACACCGTTACATTTGTATGAAGGAATATCTTGTATCAGCATGCCACAAATAATTCAAAACTAATAGAATAAGCTTAAAGAGCTAAGTGTTTTGAAAAGCTGATTGTTTCTCACTTGCTATTTAGGATGAGGCTGGATTAAGGCCTTGGGCTAACGCTGCTCTTCAGCAGAAAGCAGAACAAACGTATCCTCGGTTTTGCCCTCATGCTCAAAGACCACAACATTGTCTTAAGGAAATGAATGGAGCTGTCCCAATCTATACCCGCAATGGACCATCCTTTCAGTTGTTTTGAAACCTGGCTTTGTAATACTGTGTGTCTTATTTCAGAAGATCCCAGTGAGTCCCCAGGATCCATAAGACTGCCTTTCGGAGAGCCTCGCCTTGATGGGGGCTCTGTGTAAACACCACAGGATAGGCAAAAGCGAGCATATGGCTGGTTGCTTGTACCACACTTGAAACAAGCAAAGTAGGATGGAGGAGGTCGAGGCTGGAAAGTTCAATGCAACACTTGTCACTAGAGAAGCATATGATGCATGGTTCAGGAATGATAAGAGCAGAGGAATGAATTAAAAGGAAGTAAAGTACCACTCCCTAAAGCTGTTAGATTAGGAATATTAATCAGGATACCAGATTGCTACTACACAGGCAGTTGCAACACAGTAAATCTTCAGATATTTCAGCACTATACCATGAAGGCAAACATTTTTTCAGACAGATCTAGCATTATGGTACGTTCAGTTTTAACATATACTTTCAAAATTACTTATTTTATTTGACAAAGCCCTGTAATTACTAGTCTGGTGCTCTTACACTGAATACTGACTGCAATTCTTTCCAGTTCAATTCTATCACCACTCCCACCCCCCGCATTCCCTGGTACAGTACAGGAGCAATGGTTACTGGATATAGGATAGTGTTTCAAATTTTATGTGCACTCATCTAACAGAAAATAAATTCTCCTTGAGTGTGTTCTTAGATTGAAACACTATAGAAGGGGAAATTGTTTACACAAGCTCTATTGAGAAGCAGTTAAGTACTTGTCTTTACCCAAGTTAATGAGGTCTTCAGCCAAAATGATTGCATGCATCATCTCATATCTGTAATTGCCTGTATAGGTGATTATAGCACAGTGTAGTTATGGGAAAACTTGCATTAGGTTAGCCTATACTTTAACCTTTGATGGATAAGTTACTTTGGCTGAGTACAGGGCTATTGCATCTCAGCTGATGTAATGAGCGATGCTCTTGACCCATGGTAATTTGTTAAGTTCTAAAACCTTAAGTCACTGACTGATGTCAACTAAGACTTTCATTTTTCCATACATAATCCTATGTGCTCTAAGCAAGTATCTTGATAATAATAATCTGTCTACTAGCTGACAAGAATTTTGCAAAGAGAAGCTTGAAATTGCTGCAGGTCACAGATAAGTGAAATCAGATTTGTACACACAAACATCAAGTGCACATGCCTTGGCTCCACACCAGTCACAGAAATGGGCATCACACTCTCCTTCCAAAAATGTTTGCTTGCTATTATCACAGAATCCCACTGAATGGCTGAGGTTGGAAGGGACCTCTGGAGGTCACCTGGTCCAATCCCTCTGCTCTGCCCTCTAGAAGGGCCACCTAGAGCTGCTTGCCCAGGGTCATGTTCAGATGGCTTTCGAGTATCTCTAAGGATGGAGAATCTACAACCTCTCTGGGCAACCTGTGCAGGTGCTCAGTCACCATCACAGTAAAAAAGTGTTTCCTGATGTTCAGATGGAACTTCTGTGTTTCAGTTTGTGCCCATTACCTCTGGTCCTGTTACTGGGCACTACCGAAAAGAGCCTGGGTTTATCTTCCTCCACTTTGGCCACAACAACCTCATGCAGCACTACAGGCTGGGCACAGAGTGGCTGGACAGCAGCCAGGCAGAGAGGGATCTGGGAGTTTGGATTGACAGGAAGCTGAACATGAGCCAGCAGTGTGCCCAGGTGGCCAAGAAGGCCAATGGCATCCTGGCCTGTATCAGGAACACTGTGGCCAACAGGTCCAGGGAAGTGATTCTTCCCCTGTACTCAGTGCTGGTGAGGCCACAGCTCGAGTACTGTGTTCACTTCTGGGTCCCTCAGTTCAGGAAGGATATTGAGGTGCTGGAGCAGGTCCAGAGAAGAGCAACAAGGCTGGTGAAGGGACTACAGCACAAGTCCTATGAGGAGAGGTTGAGGAAGATGGGGTTATTCAGCTGGAGAAGAGAAGGCTCAGAGGAGACCTCATCATTCTCTACAACTACCTGAAAGGAGGTGGTAGCCAGGTGGGGGTTGGTCACTTCCCCCAGGCACCTATCAGTAAGACAAGAGAGCATGGTCTTAAGCTCTGCCAGGGGAGGTTTAGGTTAGATATTAGGAAGAAATTCTTTACAGAGAGGGTAATCAGGCATTGGAATGGGCTGCCAGGGAAGTGGTGGATTCTCCATCCCTGGAGGTTTTTAAGATGAGACTGGATGTGGCACTTAGTGCCATGGTCTAGTAACCATGGTGGTAGTGGACCATTGGACTTGAAGATCTCAGAGGTCCCTTCCAACCCAGCTGATTCTATGATTCTATGATCTTCTTGCACCCTACCTTCAGATATTTATATACATTGATGAGATCGCCTCTGAGCCTTCTTTTCTCTAAGCTAAGCAGTCTCTGCTTTCTCAGTCTTTCCTTTAGACGCTCCAGTCCCTTAATCATCTCTGTGGACCTTCACTGGACTCTCTCCATTATGTCCATGTCTCTCTTGTACTGGGGAGCCCAGAACTGGACACAGTACTCCAGATACAGGCTCACCACAGCTGAGTAGTGGGGAAGGATCACCTCCCTTGACCTGTTGGCAACACAGTTCCTAGGGGCTTTGGCTTTCCTAACAATGCTCTGCATATTCCTCCCAGGTTACCTGTCCCTGCTTCCACCTTCTGTATATTTCCTTCTTATATATCTGAGTTTTGACAGGAACTCCTTGTTTATCCTTGCAAGGCTGCTGGCACTTCTGCCTGTCTTCCAGCTCATAAGGACAGACTCCTCTTGATCTTGGAGGAGGTGATCCTTGAATCACCTTAAATCATCACTAGTTTTCTTGGACTCCTCTTTCTGCAAGGCCTTATCCCATGGGACTTTTTCAAGCAGATTCCTGAAGAGGCCAAAGTCCATTCTCCTGAATTCCAGGGCTGTGATCTTGCTTTTGTCTCTGCTCTTTCCTCTCAGGGTCCCGAACTCCTGTTTTGTGGTCACTACAGCCAAGGCTGTCTTCGACCTTCACATCTCCAAGAAGGCCTTCTTTCCTTGTAAGTATAACGTCCAGCAGAGCACCCTTCTTCTCTGGTTTCTCAACCACTTGTGCCAGGGAGTTATCTTTGATATTTTCCAGAAAGTGCTGGATTGCTTATGCTCTGCTTTGTTGTTTGTCCAGTAGATATCAGGTGCCTAAAATCTCCCATGAGGACCAGGGCTTGTAAATGTGAACCTACTTCTACCTGTCTCCAGAAGGCCTCATCCACTGTTTTTTCCTGGTGAGGGGGCCTACAGCAGACACCACTACGATGCCACCCATAGAGGCACACAATCATAGAATCATTTAGGTGGGAGAAGACTTTTAAGATCATCAAGTCCAACTGCTAACCTAACATGGGAGCCATCGCTCCACACTCCACTGCTACATCATGTGCTCTTCAGCATGCATTCCTGAGCTTATGTTGTTCACTTTTAATCCTTAGTTCTATTCTAGGTGTTTTTAATCTTACTAACTCTTAAAGCTCTCATAATTATACAAAGCCAAGTTGGATCAAAATATTTGTAATGAAGTAATTTGTTTAGAAAAATGCATGCCAGGAGTTAAATCACTTTTATGTTACATTTGTTCTCAATTACCTTTATGCAGGTGTTGTTTTGGGGCTGCAGCTGTGGAGCTATTGGTGACTCACATACAATGCAAGTGGGTGTATTCATTGGCACAGGATGTCTGCATTCAAGACATGGTGCCATCTGAAGAAAAAGCCACAACACAGCATGTTAAGGACCTCAATGAAATCATTGAAGTTATAATGAGATTTCAGTATTTTCCTATCTGGAGTCTACATCAGCAGCAAAGTCACTTGAAACAAAGAAACTGACAACAACTGATGCTGATATTGATCCCTAAAGATCAAAGGCTATTGAGAAAATATGAACACATCTGGAAAGACAATGCTGAAAAGGTACTAAGTTAATTTTCAGTAAAATTAAAATGCTACTATAAAATATGTACAGGTAATTGAAATCCTCCTAATTATGAATCTCCTAAATTTTCGTTCGCGAAGCCTAGCCATGATGATGATGATGATGAATTATGAATCTAATCTAAACAGGCAGTGAATCTTCTCAGTCATTACTTAAAACTACAGCATTGCCCCAGACAAGATATCTTTCTGATGATATAGGAAAGGAGACACACCATTGACTTGTTAGATCAGGTTATTATCTCCTGGGAGGGGCTAACGGAAGACAGTTACAGGCACCACTGCAAAAACTTGGTGCTGTTACATATGCCCACACATGCCACTGTTTAAGGTTTCAGGAATATTAGATCGATCTTCTAAAGCTATGACATAAGCACTAGTTATTAGCTAACTAACTGCACTAGTTAGCATTGGAATAAGACACATATTCGACACAGGCAAATAAAACACAATTTACTTTTTCATTGTTTTCCCTATTAAAAAACATGGCACTTGAAGAAATCTATGGTTAATTTTGCTCATCATTTGAGAGTTTCATCAGCTCTACTGCTAAAGGTATTGAGCAGAACAAAACAATTAGAACAGAACTTCCAAATGAAAGTGCGACTAAGTAACAGGTTTGCCGACACTGAGTGTGTAACTTGCAGAGGATGTTGTTTACTCCAAAGATGATGTGTTGATTGTTATGACATTTTGCTGACCTGCCTTCCTTCAGGGAGTGGGAAGCGATGTGCCGGCACAGGTGGGATAGGAGATCCACATTTCTGACAGAAGTGAGCCAACGGATTAGACAGGCGAGGTGCAAAACAGTGTGCACATCTGAAAATAAGACCAAACTAGCTGAGCTTGTTTTAGTATTGCACTGCTGCATAATAATTAATAATCTGGAACTTGTTGTGACAGGACTTAGGCCACTGATTTCTCAGTTGTGGTTTCCAAGCTGTGATGGTCTACCAGACCATACCCCAGCATTCATGATATGAAGTTCTGAATTCTAAACAGTTTTGCAGAGTAGAAAGCTCTCTGGCTGCTATGGAATTTCATACTTTCTTCCTCACCATGAGGAGGTAAACATGTGAGGTAAACAGGTCTCCTGACATGCAGTCTGTATCAGGCCTCACTGCTGCAGCATGGGGAACCACTGATGTAGATCACAGAACCCTTCCAATACTGATAAGCATTACTATTCTGTGAGACTACTCCAGTGAGCAGTTTTCACCTGCAGCAGTAAGGCTGTAGTATAATTTGAAAAGATAGTTTATCCTCTGACTTTACAGGTCTTAGAAATTTTTTTTAAGAGATGATAAGACAGTTGATAACTGTGTATGGTAAAATGTAAATAAAACGACATTTAAGAGAAGGCCTTACCTAGATTATATTATTCAGTTATGAGCCAGTGTCTATCTTTGCTTTCCTAATATTTATAGAGGCCCACAGTATTACCAACTTGCTTGCAAAAGGTTCAGACACTTTCCGAAGGACAAATATGTTAAAAGGAGAAGTCACTTACTTAAGGAAATCTGTTTCCCTCTGGATCCTTGACACTTGTGTGCTTGCTAAGCTTTTCTGGTTTGTCACTGCAGAAGAACTTGCAAACTGAAATGAAGTTTCTTCATTAGCCCTTAGAAGCAAATATTTGCAAAATGCATATAAAAGTAGCAAAATCAGCTGAAGATGCTATTTGAAACAACAGGAAACAGTGCACTGAAATTCACTGCTTTAAGGAGCATCAACTGTACTCGATTCCCCCATTAGCTGCCTTAAGGACCCAGAGCTTCTTCCAATAAAAATAAATCAATCTCTTGCTATTTACTTTCATGACAGTACTACTGAATATTGAGTTTCAAATATTAACTTGACAACATACAGCAGTAGGTATTTGCTAATTGCACATTCAGTAACATAGCAGAAAAGAATTAGTAGGAATGTTAATTTTCTTTGCCTGGTTTTGTCTATACTGATAACTGTAAACTGCTTTGGGCATTCCTATTCTAGTATGTCATTACCATTAAATTTAAATCAGGACTGTAAAATACAGACAAAGGCTGAGAGATCTGAGAAATCACAAATCTTCCTATCTTCATTTTTTTAGACCTCTGTCCTGATGACAGTCTTACACAGTTTTCTTCAGCACCCCTTTGCTTACCTGTAATGATTCTGTTGGTGGTGCTGAGACAGATTCTTCTCTGTACTCTGTTGTTCCCAAATGACTGGCAAGGAGCTGTGGTCCTTGCAGGGATCTATGAGAAGTCTTTCTTTCTGTTTCCAAGATTAAAATTACAATTCTGTTATTCCACTGTCATTCACTTCATGCAGCTAATATATATCTTAACATGAATATTACATACTCTCGCTAAGCATATTAAAAAATGTATCTGACATCCAGATTTTGGGTTCAAATAAGCTGCACGGAATTACAGGAAACTGAACTAGAAGAAAAATCATGTCTCTCTGAAAAAGCCTACTTTTGTATTTTTCTTTATTTACAGTTTTATTCCTTCCTTCATGCTCAGAAAAACTCCAGCTCCTAAAAGTAAATTAATGAGTAAACAGTAGTACAATTCCCTGCTCTTAAACAGTCCCATTGCCATGGAATAACAGACTTTATCTACTGCGAAAATCTGGGTTAAACTCTAATTTGTGCTTTGTGTATTTATTTTGGAATCTTACTGCAAGCAAACATAGTAAAGAACTCTGTAAAGGATTTGTAATCCCACCAATTTAACAGCATTTTCTGGCACAAAGAGAAATACAGACTTGGGCCTTGTTATGTTGCTGAGAAATTAATGACATTTTAATAAGTTTTTAAGAAGTAATGTGAAATGTATGGAAGGTAAGTTTTGCTCTATTTGCAGTGTTGAGCAGAGGATGTTTTGTCCTCTGAGATGGTTTTAAAATTACCTATCTGATACAAGAGGAAAAGGTTACACTATTTTCTGCTAAAACAGAAGACTATTTCAGTTTTATGAAGTAATACTATACCTTGAAAGTCTTGGGGTGTTTCACCCCAGGCGGGCTTGATTTCCACATTCAGTCCATTCTTCCTTGATTTTGTAGTAAACATTCCACCTTCCTTATTCTAAAAGGTAATTCCATTTGAATTCCAGACGAAATTTTTGCTTTTGCTCAAATCCTCTCTTGCTACAAATTTAAGCTATTTATTTTCAATGCAAGCATTTGAAAAACTCCTATTATAAATGTATTTTTAAAACATTTGATGTGAATTGTTCATAAAATACCACTGGGGAAAAAAAGTGTCCCCTTGAAATTTTAATATTACAAAAAGGACCAAAGCAGCAAAGATGGGCAGACAGAGAAAATAAATATATTAATAGTATACACAGTTTAATCTCTAAGTAACATATATATAATATTTTATATTCACATAAGGGGTTACAATTGCTAAAACTTACCCGTGCGGCTATATCTTTTAGAAAATTCTTGTCATCATCTTCAACAGAAAAAAGGATGTTTGGTTGCTTGTACTCTACCAGAAACACCTTTGTTACGACTGTACTCTTCCTGCAGTCCCTGAAAATCAATGTTCACAAACCCATGTGCAGCAACGAGCCACTGATCAACATGGCTCATCTGGTTGAACATCTTTTCCAAGGTTGCCAGTTACTACTTCAGTTGATAAGTATAATCCTGGGTAATATTTAGGTAATAAAAAAATCTTCAATTCGCTAATACATGTTAAATTACAACAGTATCATTGAAATTGCTGTAAATGTGCAAACCACTCAGGATAAAAACATACTGGAAACAAGTGTTAATCTAGGTAGTGATAAAAAGAAAATACACATAGGCCTAGGTTTTGCATGTCCCTGCACAGGGAATATAATGTTGTTATATTCCAGCGCAAACACAAATGAAGGCTACCTGCAGGTGCTAACAACAGGGAACAGCAAGCACAAATCTCCAAGTGGAGTGGGAGTTTCTGCTCTGTTGGAAATAAAAGATAATGCAACACAGTCCAGACAGAGAATTTATGTGTCCTCTCTCTGTCTCTAAGTATGAAGTTAGTTTGGACAAAGTCAGTGGCTGTGCAGCAAAATCCAGTTTTCTTTCTATGTATTGTATTTTTACCTTACCCAACATTGTACTTAAGCTGTGAGGTTTGGCATTCTGTACTCCTTTGGGAGAAACTAAGCAAGTTCCTGGAAAGACCAGCTTCTATAAATCCATTGAAACACTGGATGACCCCAGAAAACACCATACTGGTTCCTCTGGTGTTTCTGATGACCACACTCAAAAGGATGAGCTCTAAGTATTAGCTTCTCGCCCACAGCCTCTATGGATCATTGGCCCACACCCACAGCCCAGGAGATAAACATCAGAGAGATAATTCAACCACACAAACATTTGGTGGATAAATAGTATTATGAGAATGCAACGTCAATGCAATTCCTAAAGATCATTTCAATTGCAAACTGGCTGTGGAAAGGGGCATTTCTCATGGAGTGCCTTAAACAACATGGCTACAAGCTATGACTGAGATATCTGTCCCTTGCCAAAACAGGACTAAAATAAATAAGTTACTTACTTTGTAACTGCTAGTGCCTTGACCACTATTTTCCCAACTGGTAATATGATAGGACCCTTATACTTAAAAGTGTTACACTCTCCATAGCCAGGTTTCCTAATGAGTTCTGGTTTACTTCCATCTAAAGTGTAATAAATAGAGACTTCAGGTGTATCTGAAACAGAGAAAGTAGTTATTCAAACTGTATTCAACCTTGGAAAAACAAGCTCTGCACTCCAGAGTACTCACTACTGTGCTTGATTTTTGTCACATAAACAAAATAGAGCAGTTCCATAAATGACTGAATGTTTGGGACCAAAACTCTTTCTGCCATGAAATATCGGTTACTCAATAGACACAATTTCATTATGAGCAACATTTCTTATATCAAAGTAGCTGGGCAATGGTTTTGTATGAAAACATTACAGCAGCTTATCCATTCCAATGACAGAAAAGATATTTTCTGCCATGGTGAAAGGTGACATTTTAAAACACGTAAGGAAAACATTGGGGGTGAGCCTGGCACATGATATTTTCAAGCACTGTTTTTGCAGTCAAAGCAAAATGTAACAGGTTAAAACTTCGACCTTGGAAGCAATTAAGACTGCTAACACACATAACTTGTATGTTGGTAATATTACTTGAATGCATAAAATTACACGCAAGTATATTTGGCTCATCAAAAGCTGTTGGTTAATTTTGTAAGTTCCTTAATGAAATGCACACTCATAAAAATCATAATCAAACGTGAAGAAAAGTATAGAGGCTAAACAATTCAAACGACCACAGAAATAAAGACTCTTATTCGTACCTGATTTTATTTCTACGAGAGTATTTGTGTCTATTTCATGTTTAGCCTTCCCTGGAAGAGGGATTCGAAGTGGTATGACCTGAGGAACTGAGACAGAGCCAGCTGTCATTTTTCTCAACAGCAATCTTTAAAATAGAAAAATAAAAAGGCAGATAATAATTTTCCTAAACAGAAGAATGCACTGAGAAATACAGTCTTTTAACATGATCTCTTGTCCTCGTTTTTTTCTCTTAAGAGAGAACATTGGATTCTTTAAACTGTTATTTGTCATTAATATTTGCATGATTTTCACACTGAAAAGGGGCAACATCCTACTTCCAACTCATTCTCCTGTTGCAGAACTGTGAACAAAACTTGAGATGAGTACTGTGAGGGAGACTCCACAGCCTCTCTGGGCAATCTGTGCTCGATCACCTGCACGGGCAAAGTTGTTCTTCCTCATGTTCAGGTGGTACACCACCGAGAAGAGCCTGGCTCCATCCTCTTGACATCCACTCACCAGCTACGGGCGGATCAGATCTTTACCTGACTCGAGGGAGCTGATAGGTTTTCCCTCAAGGCCCCGCCTGCTCTTGGCACACCTGGACCAAGGCACGCTGTGCTCTGTTTCAGCCTCCTGGGACCGCATCCCTGGCGGGAGATGCACGGTCCCAGCGGCATCCCCAGCGCGCCCGGCTCGCGCCACAGGGCGGCCAGGCCCCGCTTTCCGTCCCCTTCCGGCCCAGCCTGGTCCCCCGCCCCGCTCCATCCCTGCTGTGCCAGCCCCGCTGCCTCCCCGCCGTGCCGGCCCCGCTCACCCGCCCGGCCCCGCCGCCGTCCCGTTTCCACGGCCGCCGCGCGCCGGTCTCTCCCGGCTCCCATTGGTCGTTGCGCCCCCCTCCGTTGCCCGTCTCAAACGTCATCTCGCCGCGCCAGGCCGGCCGCGCCATGGCGGAGGTGAAGGTAAAGCCGGAGGTGCCCGACCCCATGGATATCGAGAGCAGGTGCGGGGCGGGCGGCCCTGGGGGGCTCTCTCGTGGCAGATGGAGAGACTGCCGGGCGAGAGGAGAGGCAAGACGCAGTAGGGGTGTGTGAAGGCCCGCAAGGGGCCAGGGAGACTTGTTTTGGCGTGGGGGAGACAGGCGTGGGGCGTGCCGGTGCCTTGAGGGGTGTTGTTCAAGGCCTGGGGGCTGTGGTTCGAGGCCTGAGTGTGGTCAGGAAATAGGTGCTGAAGGAGAGGGTTGCAGTTGTTTGAGGTACTGAGAGATGCTTAGGTGGCAGTGGGAGACGAGGTCAGGTCACCTTTGGCTGCCTTGGTGTTTTTTCTGGTCTTGGAAAAGGGAATTGTGGTTTTTTTACATGATTTTTTTTTTCTTAAAGGTATTTCATCACTATTTGCCTTCTCTGACTAGTCACCAGTTCCTTTCCATTGGAACCTTTTGTATAATAAAACATACAGGGAGCTTTAAATCCATGTTGTTAATAATGAAAACAACACAAAAGTAAAATAGAGCACCACACTCAGTGTTGTCAGCAAGAGCAGAGGTAGTTGGTCCAGCAGCTGGGGCAGGTTTGTATTTGTCAGCACAAGGGAGTAGATGCTGGGTTCCCTCAAGAGAAATGACCAAGAAACAGTCGCTGGATACTTTTGCCCTGAGTTTTTCTCGTCACTCTCTTCCATCCTGACTCTAATACTTGAATTTGGTTTCAGGTGCAACAGAACATGACTTTAAACTCGCTTTTCTCCTCCCGCAGGATTATTGAGCTATGCCACCAATTCCCTCATGGTATCACAGACCAGGTGATCCAGAATGACATGCCTCACATGGAAGCCCAGCAGCGAGCTGTGGCCATCAACAGGCTGCTCTCCATGGTAGGGGGATCTCACCTTCCTCATTCTATCTCAGCCAACCCAGAGCATGTACATACATACTCTGTACGTACAGTCTGCATGTTGGGCAGGGCTAGCAGATTGATCCCGTTGGATTTAGCAGCATTTGCCATGATATACAGTTGCCACAGTTTACTTTTGGTAGCCATAAGCACTAATGATTGCTAAAGTTAATTAAGGTGTGCCTCAACTGACTCTTTCTAGTCTGCAATACAAAGTTAACATGGAGGTGTATATCGATGTGGATCACTGGGTGAGGAAGCTACCACTGAGAAGTACGACATTTGGGTTTTTTGATGTGTTTAGAGTTTTTTGATCTTTTCACTATGTGTTACTTTGTAAAGCAAAATGTGTTACAATGGTCTAGAGTACCAGTTGGGTGCAAGTATAGTTGCAGGGATTCATCAGGTGGAAAGATGGCCACAGGTGATAACCACAAGGCCCATTAATGATCGAGAATGAATTAGCTGGAGAGAAAAGGATGGATGTTAGCCCATGCTCTTATATGTCTTCTCTGAACCCCTCACAAAATCCCAAGGTTGTGGATTACTCTGATAACATGCAGGTGAAACATGTCAAGGAATTTTTTTGTATTTTCTGTAAATTTCACGTGCCTCACTGGGCATTTCTGTTTACTGTATCAGGAGTCAGCCTAAGATAGGAGCAAGGATCACACTCGGCTACTCCGGCCAAGTGTTCAAGAATAGAGAGTAGCTGTTCAGTCTTGTTGGGTCAGTGTGGTGTAAGCTTGAGTAGCAGCTAAATGTTCAGGCTCTTTAAAAGATCAAGGTTCCTTTTGGTTCCATACCTAGCTGCTTCCTGAGCATGTGGAGTCAGGAAATAAAACAGTCGGAGTGGTGCAGTCCAGAGAGCACTTTGAAAAAGAGGGCAACTTGCTTCTTAGAAAGAAGGATAGTGGAAAGTATCCAAACTGAGCAAGGTGTGGTGGTTGGCTTTTTTTGTTTTGTTTGGGTTTGGTTTTTTTTACTAGCTGAAGAAACTTCTTAACTTTGATCCTATGATCCATACTAGGTATCACTGGAAGTAATCTTTCTCTTTTTTGTCTTTCTGTTATAAATGAGTTCTGTTATAGATGTTACTAAGTGTGTTCAATAACTTTGAAAGGGCTGCCCAGATTTCATAATGAGGCTTCAAAGATAGTTAAGTCTTTGGAATTTGTTTAAAATTGATGCTTAGAAGTGGGGAGTATGTGGGAAGATCTAGAAAGTACTTCAGATGTGGGGGTAAATGGCAGTGAGAGCTCAGCCTTAATAAGCATCTGGTACTTTGATTTAATCTTCAAGTACCTCATCTGTAGCAGAGCACTGAAGTGTAAGCTTCAGTCAGCCAGGTAATGTAAATCTCTAAGAAACAAGATTGTAACTGTAGGAAAGGATCGGCTGGCAATGAAAATGTTAATTAATGCTGTTATACAGGGTTACGCTCTTAGGCTTGTCTAATTGCTTGCCTCTTCAAAATAGGAAATAAGGATTTTCCTGGCCTAGGCACAAGTGTCCAGAGCAGAAGAATTTTTCTGTGTGTGAGAGATGCCCTTAACTTGCTTCTGAGAGTCACTGCCTATCCTAGTTGGCAGCTTTCCAGTGATGTCCACTTAGTAAAAAGTAGAACTTTGAACAATTCCAAGTTCCAGTAGCAAAGCTTATGCAGTAGAACTCCACTGTGATTTTTGGATTGTCATGCAAATGAGTGTTTTGTTGGAAAGTGAGAGTAAAGTACACAAGAACTTGATATCCCTCCTACCATATGAAAGTTAGGAGAAGTAATAGGAAGTGCATAAATGTTGTGGGAAGGGTCAGGAACTATTTGTTATTTCTGATAGCTGATGATGAGTGGATACATGTCAAGGAAAAAAAAGATCCTCAAGAGTATTATTGTACTTGGAGGGAGAAAATATTCTCAGGGCTATTATTGTTTCCAGTAGTTAGAAATGTTAGTTTTCTTTCTTTATTATTTAGTTGACATTAAATAAGTTTTTTATTTTAGAATTTAAGAATATCCTTTGCCACCTTCTGAAACAAGCTCTTTGAAGAAAAGTAAATGCGTTGTGCCCATCTCTCCTAGGGGCAACTGGACCTTCTCAGGAGCAATGCAGGTCTCCTGTATAGAATCAAAGATTCTCAAAATGCGAGGTAAGCTTGTGTTTGCTGGATAAATATATTTGGAACACAATTCTGCAACTCATGCAGCATAGCTGAGAAGTCAGTCAGCAGTGTAATGTGGATTCTGTCACATGGATGTCACAGAACATAACTGCTTGTTTCAGGAGGGTGCATTTAACTCCCCTGAGCTCACCCTGAAATCTGTTTTAGGTGTAGTGTTCTCTACTGAGCAGAAGGTGCCATGGGACTATAGCTCTAACTTCCTAGCAGAGTTCCTGGTCTAAATGACAGCAAAGTGATCTCTGCAGACATATGTACGTATATGCTCAGGTGAAACCCAGCTGAAGCCTGACCAAACCTTCTGCTAACTGGGGTTCTGTGAACTTCCTCACTGCTCGTGTTACAGGATCAGCACTGATATTTACAGCTGTCCCAGGAGGCCACTTGAACTCATGCTCTTTGATTTATTAAAATGTACCTCCAAACCATGTCTTGCAATGGCTATGTAAACCTAAGTAAAAGATGCCTAGACATACTTCTGAAAGGAAATATGCTTCAAAATTATCCTTAGTGCAGGTGTATCATCCTTTCTTTCAAATGCTTTAGAAAAGGATTGCTGAGTTTATGCTTTCTTGGACCAGTGAAAAGGCATGCTCTAGAGTTAGGAGCATTCTACTATCCTTCTGAAGATGTTCTGCCTAGAGACAGATTATCTTAAATTCTGTTTCGTGCTGTGTTTGACTTTCTGAAGTTGTGTTTGTATGTGACACCAAGTTCCCCATTGTTATGACAAGTCGAGTGATTCCTGCTTAGTCACTTTTTTTTCTTCCATATTCTTTCATTTTTCTTTATCTTTTCTCTTTTCTGTGGCTTCTCACTGGCAAGCTTGACTTGATCCAGAGAGGTTTACTGTTCATGTATTATATTTGCCAATGGCTGACTTACTGTGTAGAGGGTTTTTTTGGGCATTGTTTTTTGGGTTTTATAGTACTTGTTTGTAGTTTTTAAAAAAATCTCCATTTTCTTTCAAATTTTGGACCTTTAAAAAATCTTGATATGTCTTTTTTTACAGTAAAATGAAAGGCTCTGACAATCAAGAGAAGCTGGTTTACCAAATTATAGAAGATGCAGGCAACAAAGGTAGTTTAAATTATGATTGTGAATGGTACTGTTTGCTTATGGAACCATTCCTATCCAAATTTGTAAATTCTTCCCATACAATACAAATATAAAACTTTGAGTCCCCATACCTGATCTGTAGCTAATGTTCCATATATCTGCTTTTTTAAAAACGAAAGAGAAGGTGACATGTTTCTCTGTTAAAATAACCTGTCCTGGTTGACTTTTGGGAGGGGCTCTTTTAGAAGACTTGGAATAAGAATTGCAAGTTATCTGTGGGACTGTCAAGCCAAAGTATCTGCAGAACACTCCCTACTTAAAAGAAAATGCAGAACCAGGATTTAACAGGTGTCCTGCTGGCAGAAACCACTGCTAATGACAGGGCTTTCTTAGCGTTCATTGCACACTGTGGTTGAGAGTCAGAAGGTAGAACTAGTTGTTGTATTTTTGTTGAAGCAAACACTAGTTAGTTACAAAGAAGTACTAGTCAGTAAGAGCGTTTCTGTGGTGCATTCATGTTGGCAGTGAATGGAGTCCGCTTGTAAG